GGCTCCTCTGGATGCCATCTCCACAAGGAAGGCATCCAGGCTGAGTTTCCATCTGTGCATCCCTCTCCTCACTTGCCTCTTGTGCCCTGGTAACTGCCCTGCAGCTTTGCCCTACTCACCTGCCCTGCAGTATCTCCACCCTCCCCTCACCTGTATGGTCAACAATGTCCTGGTTGTGGCCTTCCTACCCCACCTCAGATACTGCCCCTCATGCCTTGAAGGCTCAATGCCACTGTGCCTTCTTCTGTCACCCAAATCTGCTCTGGATGAGCACTCTATTGGCTCTGCCTACTATGGGATCCAGAATCTACCCCCTCCACCACACACACACACTGGCCAGCTCTTGCCTGCCTTTCTGATCTTCTCAGCTGCCTTCTATGGTGCCCCCGATTAAGTCTGAAAAGCAGCAGCTATGTCCATATTACATTGGGCATCATCTAACACAGTGAACATAAAGGAAGGAAGGCATACTGAAAGCTTACTTTCACCGCAGAGGTGGAAGGCCAGGAAAGCTTCTCTTCTCTTAAGCTGTTGGCCAATGGTGTCAGTGTGGAGTCTGCAGAGAAACAGGACTAGCAGAAAGGGGGTGGTGTGCATGCGTGTGTGTGTATGTATGTGTGTGTAAAGAGAGAGACAGGCAGACAGACAGAGACAGAGAGAAAAAGAGAAGAGGAGAGGAGAGGGAGAGGAAGAGGGAGAACTGGAGAACCCAAAATTTGTGCAGGGCTGCCAGAGAGATCTGGGCACTACTACTCTTGTGTTGAGCCTGTGGGCATCGGAAAGCAGAGCTCCTCTCTGCTCAGGGAAGGCCAGTCTTTGTTCAGTTAAAGCCTTCATCTGACTAGACCATTCACTTGGCAAAAGTCATGAGGTTCATTCGCATGGCAAAAGTCCACCAATGTACGTGATAGGCTCATCCAGCTACATCACACAGAAACATTCAGGATAATGTGTGGCCAAGTCTCTGGACCCCATGGTCCAGCCAAGTTGACAAATATTCATCATTGCACCAACAGAACAGTTGGGTGGGGACCACTGAATCTCCAACAGCCCAGGCTTCCAATAGAGGTCAAGCTCCAAAGGTCAAGGACAGTTCAAAGACCAGATCTCCACAGGATCTCCACCTGTGACCCAGGTTTCAGTAAATGCTGGCAAATGTAAGAAATATTTAATGGGAGTGTGTTCTTGCGGCTAAAGGGGAGAGTCTGAATCTTAAAACCTGGGTGTTTTTTGTCTTTCTGGAAGTGGCTGTCCAGTTTGAATGTCGTGGCATGACACACCAAGCTTTTATGACTTCAAATGGCTCCCAGGCTTGTTTGTATTAGAATCACCTGGTGCCTGCAGAAAGTGACCCCAGCTCACCCCTGAGCTTCCGATTCAGTTCTGGACAGTTCTGGCCCAGGTAGCACACTCTAAAGTCCTGTTTCCTGTGGTGAGAGGGCAATGAGAAGATCCCACCAGTGTTTGTGTGATCTGGGCCTCTCTGGTTTCTCCAAGGCCCTGTAGTTCCAAATCTGGACACAAGGTGGTGCCCTGTGCACACTTGTCCACCTAGATGGGGTGGGGCTGGGTGCTTTGGGGCCTCCAACTGTGTGAAGGGCATGTGGGGTGGCCCTGGAAGTATACCCAGGGCAGGTACACAGGTGTGGGCTGAATGTGCTGGAGGAGGGAGAGAAGCTGGGTTTTGGGCAGCAGAGCCACTCTGTCTGCCAAACATCTGGGGAGGTCTTCACCTTCTGAACGACCAGGTTGGACCTTCTCCAGGCCGCACTATTCCTGGTACCATGGCACCTCCATCACCTGCTGCCTCCTACATGGTCATCTTCACCCTCTCCTGGGGAATACTATTTTTATTCCAGTGAAAAGAAGACCTGAGGGTAGAAGACCAAGGTGTTGGGGTAAGGGGCCAGAAGGGGTCTGCCGAGGTGTGGTCTGAGTAAATGGCTCAATATGGGGAAGAATGGGCAAGTTACGGGGAGGCCCAGGGTTCACTGTTACAGTCAATGGCCCAGGAGTTGTGCAAGTGGGGGATAGGGAGGGCTGGCCGGTGCCTGGAAAATGTTGGATGTCCAGAGAGGTTGGCAGGCCTGGGGGAGGGGAAGGGGCTTGAAGGTCCCAGCTGGGGTGGTCACCTGGGCATAAGGGGATCTGGGAGATCTCCTCCCAGCATTATCTCCTTCTTGTGTGGAAGCCAGATGTCCTTGAGTGCTGTGGGCCTCTATGCCACCTGCACCCCACCTAGCCAAGCCCAGGTGGCAGAGACGGAGGCCTTTTCCAGAGGCAGGCCCTTAGGGGCAGGAGGTCTTATCTGTGAAAAGAGAGATGGGAGATGGAATGGTCTGATGAACAAACCTTAAGTCCAGAGCCCAATCCCGAGCTGAACCCCAAGGCAGTAATTAAAGGTTCAGATGGAAGGGATTATAATGGAGGCGGGCAGAGCTCCCCAGGGCCTGAGGCTGGCATTGGAAGCCCAGTGATACTGGAGATAACATTCAGAAAACTGCCTCCTCTGGCCTTCCAGGACTTGGCTTCCAGGAAGGCTGCCTGGCCTGGTCTGGCAGGTGGTGGAGAGCCCAGAAAGGACTCAGACTGGGGAGAAAATTTGGCTTCCAAGGAAGAACAAAAGTCAAGTCATTTATCCAGTGAGATGGATTCACATTTTCAATTTATCATTTCTAAACAAACCCATGAGAGTAAAATTGTCCCTCCTGAGGATGATAACTAGGGCTAAATCTGGGGTGCAAACATGGATGAGGCTGAGGGCCACATGCCTGATGTGGCCAGATGCTATCCTGTGCTTGAGCCTATACCAATCTGTCTGAAAACATAGAGCACTCTTTGGGGTGTGGCTTTCATCACTGTCAGGACAATGTCCTAGGTCATACTGATGGTGGTGTGCCTTCGTGCAGGTTTGTGTTATGTCTGACTCTGCTCTATATTCCCAAGTTTAGCACAGGGTCCAGTGTATGATGGAAATTTCATCCACCCTTATATCTGCCTTTCCAATTTTTTCACCTGTCTACTCATCCATCCACTTATTCACTTACTCCATCCATTCATCCATCCATCCATCCACTTAGCCATCCATCCATCCATCCATCCATCCATCCATCCATCCATCCACCCATCTATCCATCTGTCCATCTCCTCACTCACCTATCTAGTCATCCATCCATCCAGTCCATCCCACTATCCATCCAGTCATCCACTGCTGGCTGTGCAATGTTGAAAACTCTACTAAGCTATATTGTTCTAAGTCACTAAGATTCAGTGGTGGACATACAGGATCCTCACCCTCATGGGGTTCTATTCCAGCTAGGGAAGCAGACAATAGATCAAGATATATCTGGTATTTTATTTAAACAAAGCCTAATGATCTTAAGAAATGCCTAAGAAGGGCCAGGGATTTAGGGTGCTGTCGCCTGCCTCACAAGTGCCAGGTCCTGAGTTCGATCCACAGTACCAAAAAAAAAAAAAAAAAAAAGCCTGAGAAAATGAGAAGGCCATCTGGACAAAGGCACCAGTTTGGCTGGAGTGTGCTATATAAAAAAGGATCCAGATTATTCTGGCTTCAGGACCCATGGAGGACATGAGTGGAGCCTGTTGGATGTGGAGCAGAGGGAGTTGACTCTGCAAGGACAGTTGTTGTTGGGTATGGAGGACACATCTGAGGCTGGATTTGGGCAGGCTGGTGAGCTGATCCCCTGGCGTATGGCTGTGTTTGTGGCAGGACGTCGAGTGTGAACTCCAGAGGGAGCAGAAGCTATTACTCTGTGGAGGTGGAACCAGGGAAACAAAGAAGACTGCAGGGTTTCAGCAACTTGACCATGAGGTGGGAGAGAGGTCAGTGGTTAATAGACCCAGAGATCATGACTTGACACCTGGCTTGACCAGGGCCACAGGAGGTCTGGAGAGGAGCCTGGAGTCACGGGAGGCCAGGCAGGGTCTGCATAAAGTGGGAGGAAAATCAGCAACGAGAGCAAGGTAGGTAACAGTGCCTGAGAGTTGACCTTTGGATTTGGTGGTAGTTGACAGAGGGCACAGGCTGCTGTCCTGGGGCAGTTCAGGCAGGCCCACACGGGAGTGGGGTTTGCATCATAAGGTATGAGACAGCCTCCCAGAAATCAGGAAGGCAGACCTACTATACTTTTCACTGGTGACAGGGTAAAAACCCACAATCTGCAGAAGCAAGAGCAAGTGGGAGCTCAGGAGCCTAAGTGGCCTGAGCACTTGAGTTGGATGGCCCAGCATGTCCAGCCCTGGGTGTCTTGACCAGGGCAGGGTCTGAGGTCAGACCGTGCCCCCTCACCCCGGTTGGCACTCAAGGCTGTAGAGGTGCGGCACTATTTGAAAATGGGAAAGCTAGGGGCTCAGCTGCTGAGAATCTGTCAAGAGATTTTGGGGGTACACCGGGGATTGAACCCAAGGCCTTTGCACTGCACTATACCCCCACCTCTTTGTTTTTTGGTACTGGGGATTGAACTTGGGACCTTGCACTTGCGAGGCAGGTGGTAGAACCATTTCCCTGCCCCGCCCCCCAGCTCTTTCTTATTCTGTATTTTGAAAGTCTTGCTAAGTCACTAAATTGCCCAAGCTGGGGGGGTCCAGCTTTTAATCCTCCTGCTTCAACATCCCAGCCTGCTGGGATTGCAGGTGTATCACTATGCCTTGATAAAGTTAGAGACTCCTAAAGTAGCTCTGCATGACAATGTAGCTGATAGCCCAAGATTTAAGGTTTACTTCTGAAGTTTGTCACTTTCTCCATCTTGGGTCTGAAGCCTGACTGCCCTGGACCATTGAGATCCTTTTTTACAGAGTAGAATCCTACCCAGAAAACACACTGCAAGGGGCTTGGAGCCACTCTAGGTCATGGGAGATCTAGTATGCCAGGCCTGACCTCCAGTATGCCAGTTCCAAGAATGTGTACTTTCTGCCAAGCCCTGTAACAAGAGGACAGCTGCAGCTCCCCCTCCAGCTATAAAAAAACTCTAGTGCCCTATGAAGCAAAGGACATTCAGGGCACTCAGTAGGGACTCAGGAAGGAGCTCAGCTTGAGCCATGCTGAAGTTGGCCTCCACCATGCAGCTGCTCCAAGCCCCCCTGAGATGCTGGGTCGTTTCCAAGGCCCACGTTTCTGCCAAGCCAGCCAGGACCCCCACATCCCCTATGGTAAGTGACCTTGGAGACCACAATAGCCATCATGGGTTTGGGACAAGAGTCCAGGCTGAGACTGGGGGGCAGCTGTGCGCCTCAGTCAGCTATGGTGGAGTCTGATCACCTGGAAAGGGCCCTACTGCTATCACCCACGGGACAGGCTCTGGTCAGCCACAGTGGGGCAGGGCTCTGCCCTCCAGGCCTCAGTCACCTCCGATAAAGGCCAGTGGTGACCCTGAGCAGAGGGCCTGTCACTTGGCCTAACATGACAGAATGGGGCTGCTGAGGGGAAGGAGGGTAGAACCCTAAGCCCAGGTCAGAGTGGGATCTTTATTAGTGTCTCCTTTTTAAAGTATAAATAATGTGTAGGTTATTTGCTCAAGGTCACGTAGCTAAGATCAAAATCCAGACTAAGGTCACTGTTCTAAGGCCACATTTGCTCTTAAATCTCTGTAAGGACTGGGTTCCAACCAGAAAGGTTTAAGAGCTGTGAGGAACTGACTGATACCTCGGACACTGGCCAAATCTCAGCACCCTTATACACAGCTGCAGGGAGCCAGCAAGTGTTTCCCCTGGTCTCCTAGGTTGTCCCTCTTACTAGGGCTTCCTGACAATAGAGGATATTGCTTGCACTAGCACAGAAGGCTGAAGATGCACTGAGCTTGCTGGAGATAACTGGCCAAATGTGGGGTGGGATAATTTGTCTCTAGCACTGGACATGTGTCTGGTTAGGCCTAAACAGCGGATTCATGTGCTTTCCTCCATTAGGAGCAAGCAGTGGGGATCTCAATCATGTTCATCAGCTTCCTGATTCCTGCAGGCTGGGTCTTGTCCCATCTGGAGAGCTACAAGAAGAGTTCTGTAGCATGAAGGCCCCACAGCCCCACAGGGGCACAGCCCTGAAAGATCACATTAAACCCCCTTCTACTTGCTGCTCTTGTTGATTCTTCTAGGTCCCCGCTTCCAGCCAAGGTACTGAGGGGCCTCATGTGGCTCCGGCACCAGGCTGTCCCCCAGCTGGCTCATGCAGACATTGGGGCATACAAGTGCCTGCTTATCTGAATGCTGAGAAGTGGCAAGGGTGTAGATGCTTATGTCTGAGAAGGTACCAATGGGCAGAAAGGGTGGCAAAGTGCTGGGCTCTGTCCTACTCCTGAGTATGGTGGGAAGGGAGGTGGAAATCCTAAGTTCCACAGGCACAGGTTTGACCTGGCAACTAAGCCCAAAGACAGGTGGATGATGCAAAGGCATTTATTACAGGAACGTTCCTGCACATCTGAAAAGATGTGCATACAGGCGGCTATGGATGAGGACCCACCTCGGGGTGTATGTCCTCTGCAGATTAGAGGGCATCCGTTCCTGGTCATTCTATCACCATTCCTCATCGCTTGAGGCCACCGCAGACTATGAGACAACCCTTTTGCCCAGGTCTAGTTCCCATCAACAACAGCTGTTTTCAAAGCAAAAACAGTCCCTACTCCCACAAGGGTCCAACTCCCCCAACCCAATGCAGATCTCTGCCGCTGAAAGTTTCATAGGCCACAAAAAGGCCTCTTGGGTGGGGCTGGGCCACAGGGCACCGGACACTAGGTGAGGATGTCATGAGCCTGGTGCTCCACCAGCATCTCCATGCTCTTCACATCTGTGCACCAAAACTCCAGCCGGTCCTTCATCCCCTTGATCTGTAGGCAAATCAGGACCAGAGAGGCATTAGGACATGTAGGGTCACAGGTCAGTGGGGCAGCACTATGAACTGTAGAGCTGGGCTGGGTGTGGGAGATCACCTGGTCTGTTCTTTATCACAAGATAGTCTAAAAACTTAGATTAAAGAACAGGCATGAATAGAGGAAATCCACAGGATTAAATTTCTGCAAACATTAAGATGGATTTGAGCTCAAATCATAAAACCAGGAACATATTTGATCAGAGTACCAATTTTAAGATTAAAAGACACCACTGGCACAATCAGCGCTGTTGTTCCAGTAAGCTTCTCAGCATAGGGATCAGACCACAGGCCTGCATCAAGCTACTTTCTCAGAAAAGTCCTCAGTTCTACAGCAGTAATCCATTCCGCACTCCCCCTGATGACTTCCCCCTGGATGGCTTGGTCCATGTGAAACCAAGACCCAGACAACCCCAACACCATAGAGGTGAGCCAGGGGCTTTGCCACCACCTCACCTGCTGCAAATCTAGTACGCGGGGCTGCACCCAGGTCATGTGGACTCGTCTGTCGACTTCATCTATGCTGCCTCTCACCAGCCCCACTGAGAGTGCCTTCATCACCAGCAGCTCTACCTGCACAGAGAGGCTCAGGTGAGACAGCTGACCCCAGGAGCTTCTGCAGACTGAATGCTGCTGCTCCCATTACCTGGACAATGAGGGGCTGAGCATTTAGAGGCCTCAGTTCCACACCTCAAGTCCCAGTACTGTACCTCGTTCACTGTGATTTTAGCACTTTTGGCAATTTCTTCAAAAGTAAGCTGTCTGTGGTTGGCAGGTCGTGTGAAAGTCATCTGAAAAAAATTTTTTCATTAACTATTTTTTCAAATAAAAATGGTTAGAGATCTGACTGGTAAGGATAGTTTGTTCTGAATACAAAGATTATCTTATTAATACCCTATATACTAAAATTTCCTTGGTGTTAGCCTTATCTTACTAAGAGCAAGCTTTCAAAGCTTAGAGAAGGTTAAAGGTGAAAATGGCTTTACATGAATTTTCTTTTTCTTTTTCTTCTTTTGGTGGTACCAGGGATCCAACTGAGGACCTTGCACTTGCAAGGCATGCAACAGCACCACTGAGCTAAACCTCTGGCCCAACATGAACTTTCAACAATAGTCATCACTCATTCCATGAGTAGGCAGTTGAGTCTACCAAATCCCTCAAGTCCAGAGGATACTGGTGGGAGCCAGAAAGTCAAGCTCCACCTCCTCAGAGTCTCATAATTTGGAGGGGAAAGTACAGGGGCTGGGAGGGACAAGCACCAGGTCAACTGTGTTGAGGCAGGAAGGGGCAGCCATTCCACCTCAAGTGGTCAAGGGGGGTTCGGGGGGGGTGGCTCTTGAAAACACAAACTTGAAGAAGACAGTGGCAGCAGGGAGGAGGGTAGGGATTGGGCCAGGGAAAAAGTTGTTCACTCAGAGAAGATGAAGCTCCTGGGTGCTTCTTACCTCCATTAGGCACAATAACTGAATCTTCCGCAGAAGCTGGGTTTCGTTGGCAGCTAAGTCAGGCTGTGAAGTGTAGAAAGACAGACAATGTCACCTATATTTGTGCTTATCAGCTGCCTAACTTGGGCTTCAAATCCAGATAAAAGATATGCACTGATGTCACAAATACCATGAGGCATTTAGAGACCCTCTTGACCCAAGGCACCATCAAGAAAGGATAGGGTCCCAGGAGGTCCTGGGTGGCCCTATCTGTTAAGTATAGCTGCTCTGAGGATCCCTACACATCAAGGGCTTTACTGAATCCAAAGAGCAAGTGAGTCATTTAGAAAAAATAAAAAACACCTAGTTGTGAGAACTAGAATAAATACATTCTGTAAGACCTGCATGATTTCTCCTTGCTGATAAACTGGAGGGCTCTTCTATGAGCACAGAATTAAACCAGGAGAGAATGTTGAGAAACTCCTAACTCTGACAGGTATCCATGACAGGGTGACAGGGATAATCATGCTGTGGGTACTAGATAAGCACTGCTACTATTTGCCTCCGAATTTCCTCTCTTCCTTCAAATTAGTATGGCTAGACAGCTTCCTTTTTTTGAGACATGGTTTCACTATGTTGCCTAGGCTGTTCTCACATGAACCTTCTGCTTTAGCCTTCAGAGCAGCTGAGACAAGTGTGCTTCAGCATGCATGGCTCTCATATTTGGCTGAGATGTCAATACATAACCACAATACACGAGGTCTGATATTTTCTGACTCTTCATAGTCCCTTCACTTATCCCTTAACCACTCTATCATATATGAATTTTATAAATGTGTCTTAAACTTCAGGAAAACTGAAAGTTTTAGAAAAGTATGAAAACAGAGCACAACCATAATTCCTACCACAATTAGTTTTAGCAGTATTTGCTTTTAATAATTTCATTTAAAAAAGAATAGTCTTACTGTTCGGCACTTCTGGCTCCTCTCACCCCAAAGCTCCTTCCCGGGGCGGGCCCTGGGGACCGTCCTCACCATCAACTGGGACTGACTGCTCCCTCTACTACTGTGCCTATCCCTCGTGCTTTCCCCTTCTCTCACTTCCTCCACCTGTCCACTCACATTAACTACGTAGGCCTCTGGTTCAGCAAACAAGGTAAGAGTTTCATTTTCCTCTGCTCTTCCCAATTTCTTCACTAATTCCTTGCAAGAGTTCTATGCCACCCTCAGGCTAGCACAGATGAAGGGCCCTAAATGCCAGGGCCTCCTAGGTGCCTGCTGTGCAGAAGAGGGGCTCAGTAAACACTTATTGGATAAATGGACGAATGCAGGGATAAACAAAGGCCTTGGGCAGGTGGGACCCACCTGGTGGCCCCAGGCAGTCTTCAGAGTCTGGAACTTGTCCACATCACCACTATTGAAGGCATAGAGGGTGTCAATCAGCCATTGTCGGTCAGTGCCCCGCAGTGACTCAAGCACAGGGTGCATGAGCTGTGGAATGGAGACTGTCAGTTGGCAGAAAGTCAGCCACCCACCCCCTCAAGGAATCTGCTTCATGGCCAACTTACAAGTTCTCCAAAGTTAAAAACTCCCTCGCCAAGAAGTCCTGCAAGCCCCAGTGTGAAGGCTCTCTCCTGCTGCTCTGAAACTAAGGCAATGACATACTCAGTCACATCTGTCACCACAACCAGTCCTGTTTGGCTCTAAGAAAGCTTACATAATAAAAGCAAAAAAGAAACGGGTGGGAAGAATTACCTGTTGTCCTCTTAAATTAAAAAACTGAAGACAAAATGATGTAGAAACTAAAGCATAAACAAAGCTCTGAGACCTGTACCCTCAAGTACTGCATACCTGCCACATCTGGGGAATACGCTTCTGTGCAATATGAATCCAATGCCCAGTTACCTGGTAGATCTTTGATATCGACGCAGCCCAGAAACCGCAGAGCATCTTTGTAGTAGGATGCATGGTTCCCAATTGTTTGATAATATTTACTGGAGAGATCATAGAAACGACTGTGAACTGATGTCACGCCGGGGAGGTTGTGGAGCATCTCTTCAACATCTTCGATCGTTTCCTAAGCACAGGAGCAAAAACTATCTTAGAAGAGTTTAAAGTAATGTAAAAGTAAAGAGCATGAGCTTCCAATGCAAAGACTGATAAATGTGTCTACATTAAAATGGAAAACTTCAGTTCCTCCAAAGCACAGAAAAAATTATAACGACAAGATACAGGCTGGAAAAGATATTCACAGCACATGTAACCCCACAAGGGATAGTGACCTAAGGAACATAAAAATATACATCAGTCAGAATACTATAGAAAAACGGGTGAAAGACAGTAAAAGGCAATTACAGAAGTGGTGCTGTGAATGCATTGAGAAATGCCAAGTACCAACAAGATACCACTTCACCCCCACTAGATCAGCAAGACATAAGCATGTGAAAGTACCAAGTACTGAGGATACAGCACTCAGAAGTGCATGTCTGCATATGTGACACTCTGCTCACGTATGCAGGGAACAGGCACAGAAATGCTAACTTGAGCATTGTCTGTAATAGGAAAAATAACCTAGATCCAATGCTAATACAAGGTCTGATTGTATCAGAAAACAAAAAACAAAAAACCCTAAATCCCTCCACAGGAGACCAGATACTTAACTTATAAGGTGTGACTGAAATATGTATTACAGAAAAGGGGCCAGGGATTTAGCTCAGTGGTTCTGCCTCTGCCTCATAAGCCCAAGGACCCCACATCGATCCCCAGTACCAAAACAAAACAAAAAAACCAAAAAAAGTCACACTGCCCTTCACCCCCCCTTAAAATACTCCTTGTTGCTTCAAACACATGTATCCCATTGCTTTGCCACATTCTGAAGCATTTGTGGAAGTCCTTGCGAGTTTTTTAGCTGCATTTCTGTGGCTGATTTAATATCTTGAACTGATTCAAAACTAGCTTACATTTCATGGTCACTCTGACTTTGGGGAAGAGCCAGAAGTTGTATGGTACCAGGTGCAGTGAGTAAGGTAGATGAGCAGACTACCATATATTTTTATGAGCCTGCCTTTCTGTTGGATGGTACCTGGCAGCAGCATTCACTTTTTTGGGGGGGGGATAGGGTCTTACTATACGGTTCAAGCTGGCCATAAACTTACTCTGTAGCCCATGCTGGCCTCAAACTCACAGTGATCTTTCTGCCTTAACCTGTAAAGGGCTGGGATTACAGGTACGCATGGCCACACCTGGCGGCATTCACCAGTTTTGATCACACCTTATAGATACTATGAAAGAGGACTTCCCAAGAGTCCTTCTTGCTTCTAAGAGTGACAAAAACGATGGGATAGTGTGTTGGAAAGAGGGGGATCAAGGGCAGTCTTTCACTTTAAATTAAAAAGAAATCTAAACATTCACCATGTATTTTGACCACACCCACATATTGTGACATATATAATGAAACGCCACATTAGAGCGAAAACAAACTGCTCAGACGTCAACACTGACTGGAGTTACATATGCCTATCCATTGAAAGTGCATTAAGGAAGCATGGCTGCCAGGGCCATGCTGGGGAAGGGTCTTGGGGAGAGGTGGTGTCTACCCGCGTGTGATACTCTGCTTCTGAGCAGCTGCAGCAGAAGGATATTTGTTATAGCATTCCCCATAGTGTATTACAGTTTTCAGTGTGTCTCAAATATTTCAGAAAAAAAAAAAAAAAAAAAAGTTAAGCATGCATATGGGGCTAGGACCTGGAAACAGTACTAAAAACTATTTTTTAGGACAAGAACATGAACATCCTTGACCCTTATACTCAATATTTTCTTTACTATTATGATTACCAAAACCAAACCAGTCTGTTAAACAAAGCAGACTGAGCCTCACTGCCACTCCTATGTACACCTGACCCCCCAAATAAGACAGGCAGCTCCAACAACAATTTATGCGGAAGAGAATAGCTGGAGGAGCAGCATATGACTTGCCAGTGCTGAGGGGCTCCCTTAGTGAAGCCAAGTGCTTTGGACCAGCTGAGGCTTTGTGGAATTCTGACTGGACAACCAAACTGTAGCCACACACTGACATTATAACAGCAAAATCATTTACTATTAAATGGTTCTGAAAAACACACACAGAATGTGACCAAAGTGGTAAAATGTAAACAAGAAATGTGGGTTAGAGATATGAAAAGTTCTTTGTGCTGCTTTTGCAATTTTTCTGCAACTCAAAATATTTTAAGGGCCGGGGATGTGGCTCAGTGGTTCCACCACTTGCCTCGAAAGCACAAGGTCCCCAGTACCAAAAAAAAAAAAAAAAAAAAAAAAGAAACTTTCAAAAATATTTTAAAATAAACAATTACAAAAGCACATGTTATTTTTTTCCTAGTTTTAGACAACTTTTTAGCTAAAGATAAATCTATTATGGTGCTCTCACCTTTGTAACCTGTAGATCCCCGATGTTTAATTTTAGGGCTCCGATTGCTGTTTTACACAGGATCACTGCCTCATCACTACTTTTCACCTGAAGACATCAAAAAACATGGAACTTCAGAAATGTGGGCAGCCTACTTGCACAATAAGTACTACCTGTGTGCTGAATTGACTATAATGATGGCAGACACACAATTTCTTAAAAAAAAAAAAAAAAGTATGAACAATAAATGAAAGCCGTGTGTTATTCAAATTTCATATTCACCTTCTCACGAGTCTTTTCTAGAAAAGTAAGAGCCACGTTGGGATCTGGAAAAGGAAGAACAACGTCAGAAGAACCCCAAAGCTGGTTTCCACCAGCCAAAACATCTTTAGGGAGGATAATCTTTAGGGGTAGACTATAAGTATAATAAAAACATAATTCAGAACTTGATCTTTTCTATCAAATTATATTTTAATTCAATGAAGTTATATTTCAAGATCATTTTAACTACCATTTAGAACTGCTCCATTGTAAAACAAAGTGAAGCTTACCAGTCATCTGTCTAACCACATGAAGAATTATTTCTACCAGGGACAAAGGGTTCACTCTGAAATAAAAACCACCAGTTTTTGAATGTCAAAGAATACCAACACATGCGTTTTCTTTTCTTTCTTTTTTCTTTTTTTTGGTAGTGGGGATCAAACTCAGGACTTCACACTTGTGAGGCAGGCAGCACAACCACTAAGTTAAATCCCCAGCCCACACATGTGTTTGTTTTCAAACTGAAAAACTGGCAAAAGGATTTTACCTGTGTTCAAATTCACTGATGAAGTTTTCATAAAGCTGTAGGATCAAAACATGGAGAGTAAGCATAGGATTCTACAAAATCAGACTCCAAACACTATTTTCAGTTAAGCAATGTGAATAATATCAAGCTGTGAGTTTGCCCATCACATAGTAAGTACTACATAAATGTTGGCTCAATGAGAGGAGGCCCATAGTAGGGCTTATTTAAATTCATACAAATGATCACTTATGAATTAAGTAAAGAAATCCAGGGCTTCTTTCTACCTCTGGGAAATTAGAACACTGACCTGTAAGAATGTTCTAAAAAGCAATTCCGAGGTACCCCAAGTACAACAAACTATCAGTCTGAAATGTTCAGTTCTTCAATTTTAGAAGGCTGCAGGTTAATTATATCTTTTCACCAAATTTTTTAGTCACTCAATACACATTTGAGCACTTTTTCAGACCCCACGGCCAGGCACCACAGACATAGAATGTGTGAGGCAAACACTGAGCCTTCAAGGAGTTTTTGGTCAGGGAAGTGTCTGTGAACAAATGAATGAACAATACTGTGACTTTAAGAACAAGAGAAAGAAGGAATATCAGTAGGTGAGCCAAAGGCAGGGGTTTCAAGGTTATTTCCAAGGCGGTGACAACTGTGTTTCAAGAAATGAAGAGTGCTGTGGGAGAGAAGGCAGGTGAGAGGACACTCTAGACAGAAACAACTTTCACTGAGTTTCAGGAGTCCTTCTACAGGATACAGAGAGTAAGAGACAGAGAACTGGTCTCTGCTCTAAAGGCAGAGATGAACCAGGACAGACATCTCTGAGGCAGAGAGGACCACAAAGCAAACTGAAGGAGACCAATCTTGTCTTGGTTTTGAGGAAGCAGAAAGATAGAAATGTCCCTGTGGCATTTTCTTTTCATGACAAAGGACTATTTAAAAGATATCTTCCCCATCAAGAGGGACTGTTTCAATTTTTCAGGTTCTTCATAATTTATGGGTTTATCTAAAGAAACCCTACTAATTCAGAATCTCAAAATTACTTATGATGACTGAAAATTCATGAATATCATCCAACATGCATCTAATGTGTGCTGGGTTTCAAGAATTTTAAAGGATTTTTTGTCCATGAGAAAGTAAACTCAAATCTGCTGACCTGAGTGTTCCATTACCACAAAGTTGAAGAAACACTTTGGCATATATGGAAAAGTTAAAGATAAAAAAAAAGAGCGGAAATAAACAATTATGAATACATACTACTATGATGTAGACTAGAACCCTGGGGAATAAGTATTAAGACCTGTCTCATTTGTCATTTTCCACATAATCCAGAAGACAAAGAACATTCAGCAAAATCTTCAGGCTTCTAGGTGATTACAAGTTTTTTTGGATAGTAAAATGTTAAATCAATGGGTACCAACCACAAGAAAATCTTACAAGCCCAAGCAGGGTACTATATTCAGAGAAAGATCTTAAACTATAATCACAAGCTAGTTATTAGTCAATGCATATATTAATCTTTGATTCATTCAAAATCAGAGAAAGGCATCAAAGAGTAAGAAGTCAGAAAAGACTTCAAAGAGAAGTCTTCCTATGAACATGTTAGGGGATCTGGATAAGGCTGGGAGATAGCGAATTTTTCTCTGTTAACAAAATGCTAAATGTAGGGCTGGGGATTTAGCTCAGTGGTTCCGCTACCTGCCCTCACAAGTGAAGGGATCCCCAATACCAAAAAAAAAAAAAAAGCTAAATGTGATCTACTATAAAGGCACATGATATTATCAAATCCCCTTCATCCTACCACCCTCAAGCAAAGTACAAAAGGTACTCTGTCTTCTCTACTCAAGAGCTATCTGGGCAAGCAAAATTAGCATGGTTAAGGGAGGAGAGTGAGGACTGAGGAGAGTTACAAAGGTCCCCATGGCAATCCTCTGTACCAGTGGTGGTGAACCTATGGCATGTGTGCCACAGAGGGCTATCTGTATCACTGAAAGCTCTAACAGGCTTGCCATAACTGCTCTATATGCTACTTTACCCCATGATTGACCACGAACTTTCAATTTATGAAAATGTTTACCAAAAGAATAGAAAATAAAAACAAAACAAGTTTATGAACAAAAAGATACCCAGGCATTTTTTTTTTTTTTTTAAAGAGGCAAGGTCTTACTATGTTGTCCAGGTTGACCTAAAACTCATGATCATCCTGCTTAAGCCTTCTGAGTAGCTGAAATTACAGGTGAACATCACTTTACCTGGCATCTTTTTTGTTTTGGTGATGCTGGGATTGTAACCCAGGGCTGGTACATGCAAAGCACATGTTCTACCAATAGCCTAGAATTTTAGAAAACAGAATTTCTGTGTTTAAATGGTGTTCTGTGACTTATTAGCTGTGATCTATCGTAAATTATTTAATCTCTCATGTTTGCTTCAACATAAAAAAAGGTAAATGCAGTACATATCTCCCAAAACTGCTATGATAAGAGTAAATATGTTAAAGTGCTTACAACAGCCTCTCATAGAAATTTGACTGATGAATAGTTGTATCTTATTATTACCATAAAGTCCAACCATTATTTCAAAAAGTCCTTGAGCATATTCATATAATCTGACCTAGCATTATAAATTATTTACCTTAATGAGACCATCTCCTTGGGCAAAGCAGGGGTCCTGTACAAAATCAAGGACCTGAAGTGTCAGTTGATGCCATAACCTGAAAAACAGAGACCCTTCAGACCCGTAAACTAATATAGATATCTTCAGCCTTGATGGTCCCATCAAACAATAAATACCTACCAATATCTATTCTTTAGCACAGAGAGTGCTAAAGCAGATATTAACAAACCTGAGTTCTTTTCTGAGAGCTACTCAACAGTTATGTCATCTGAGCACATTTACCCTATCTAAGCCTGTTTTCTCATACAGTAGTACATAAAATAGAGAACATCTTTCTAGACTGCTTCAGAGGGTTATTGTTTTTTTTTTTTTGGTACCGGGGATTGAACTCAGGTTCTTGTGCTTACAAGGCAGGCAGTGAAACCACTGAGCTAAGTCCCTGGCTTCAGAGGGTGATTCTGAGGTGACTAGAAGTAAGAATTTTGGAATTATATAGCTCTAATAAAGTCAAGGCTCTCCTTAGCTGAGTATCTCAGGGAAGCCAGCTTCAGTTTCCTCATCTGCGAATGGGATAAAGGAACGATGAAAAACATTAATATATAAAACCTCTAGAACTCTCCACCCAAAAGAACCAAAGGCAGATAAAATGCTTTGAAAAACACAAAATGCTATTTTTGTTGTTTTTTGAGACAGGCTCTCACTATGTAGTTGAGACTGACCTGGAACTCCCTACGTAGCCCAGGCTAGTCCCGAAGGAAAAATACAAAGTGCTACCCAATATGAGCAATCATTTGTCAAATGTGAAAAATTTTCTTTCAAAAACTGCTAATTGAAAGGAACACTGCTGAACATCACTAAATACTGTGTGAATACCTATATAAAAAGTTCTATGCTAAATGCCCCATTGTTAACAGGGAGTTAGCACGGAAAATCTGTTCTACCGTGGCACAACTTTAGCTTAAATGCTAGCAAAATTTAAAAGTGCTCTGAAGTTAACCCTGTATATAATAAACCCAAACTCGTATATAATAAACCCAAACTTTGACATCTCTCTAGGGGCAGAAAGCTCAATATGAAATGCAACAAAAAGTGAGAGCAGTGTGTGGGGGGAAGGCTGTGGTTGTACTCGGTGCAACCGGTTCCAGAATCAACTGAGAACCTGCACTGACTGGCCTCTGGTTTCTGGGACCTAGACCATGACAAAGACAACTGGAGATGGAGTCACACCATGACCCCAAAAGTGTGGCAACCTAGCCCAAAAATGTGCTTCCTTAACTGAATTACAAGCTAAAATCGATCCTGTCCTGCGCTCCTTTCATGAGTAGGGAAGCCTCAGGCACAGCCCCTTGGGCGGGAGAACAGTTACCTCCAAACCCTGGCTACAACAGTGCTTCTTAGACCTCGCGGTCTGTCGCTCTTTTCCTGCAGCTTCGAGCCTGAAGGTGGCTCAGCCCCTCTCGGCCCAGCCGATACCCTCTCCCCACAAGTGTCTGCCCTTCCCGACTCGGGTCCATGCGCCCCGTCTGGGTCCCCTCGATTCGGTGCTCACTTCTTTGTGTAGAGCTCCTCCAGACGGTGCCACACGGCGGCCTGCCCGGGCCCGGAGCTCTGGCTCTGCTGTAAGAAGCCGGGTACATCCTTCATAATGGCCAAAAAGTGCAAGCCAGAATCACCACAAAAGCGTCAGCGAGGAAGGGATGGCGGCCGGAAGTGCTCACTCATTTCCCTAGCTGCTGAGCGCTAGGCATGCCGGGAGTGCCGGGAGAGCTGTGATCAGCCTTGGCGCACAGCCGGTCCTCCTGGGCACTGCGCTCCTCAGCCACTGGGGCGAAATTCTCTCTCCGGCAGGAATCGGGGTTCCGGTTCACCCAGCCAGAAGCGGGCTGGGGTCTGGGGAAGAGTAGTGGGACAAAGGGACTGGCCGGGCGGGGGTGGGTGAGCGGGACGCGGCGGCACGTGATGCTCCCTGACGCGCTTGCGCGGCGGAGTATCATGGCGCTGTGCGGGAGGGCTCTGTCAGTTCTCAGGCTGTGGGGCCCTGGGAGGTGAGTGTGGTCTGGGCTTGACCCGGGAAAGCTGGGGAAGACCGAGCCCGGCGGCCCCAGCTGTTGGCTGTGTGTGAAAGGGCGAGCCTTGGCCAGGCGTGGTCCCTGGTTCCTTCCTGTCTTGTGGCTGCTCCCGTTATAGCGCAGTCCTTGGGTTGGGCTCGCAGTCCTTTGTTGGAACGTTTCATAGTTTATCATTCTCTTGTTGGAATAGCTTTTGATCTCTAGATTTACAAATAACGGTGTCACGACAGCTTTAAAAAAATATAAATCTCGTTGTTTGGATAAATTTCTGGGTCTGAGGTAAACGTTTAACGTCTTAGTTGCCCTTCATAAAGTTATGCAGTTAATGCTGCCACCCGCAGGTGGTCACATCCGTCTGCACAGTAGTTAACACCTACTCCAGTGCTGAGACTCAAACCCAGGTCCGCCCCTTCCATGTTTTGCAAACGCTGTACTTCTGAGCGACACCCTCAGCCTTACTTGGAAAAAATTGTAGGGCCCGCAATTATTAGGAAGCTACATGGGTGAAAATTTAAGTAGTGGTAGTTTCCTGATTCACATTGAAGAGTACTAAAAAGATGTTCATCCAGGATGCCTTCATTCACCTTATACTTTGTGCCAGCTTTTTGGGTGGTGGGAATGGAGGAGGGACTAGACAGACACTTCTATCCATGATGACAGTTCTGATATTAGCCGTTATCTGCAGAACTGGCTGGCTGTCATTAAATCCTTGCTGCCACCTTAACACGAGCTAGGAGGTTTCCTGTGAGGAGAGGGCAGTCTGGATTTCTGCAGTTTGGAATTTCTTGTGCCCCTTGATTGTAGACTTTGGGGCTGTTGTGCAGATTCATCCTTTGTGTCTGTTTGCACAGTGTCTCAGGCAGCACCCATGCCTGTCTCAGGGCCTTCTACTCCCAGGAACTTTCATACCATGTAGTGTGTACGTTTAGTCATACACCTTAAGTGTAATTCCACCTTTGATGAAACTTTGACGGTGTTTATAGTGACTCAAAACTATTTTACTTAAATAGATAAATGAAAAATGTACTTCCAGTGTCCTGTATAATGCCTAGCAATTGGTTGGTACTCAACAGTGCTAATAACTTTTCTTTTCCCTATGTATTTCTTGTAATGGTTTGCATTTAAACTCAAAATAATGTTTGGGTGAGGGTTGTTTGCAAACAGATGTTTTCAATGCTGTGTGAAGCAGGGTGTGTAATAGATGGAAGGATGGTTTTAGAGCTGAGACTTTCCTGATTTCATTCTTAACTAGTTTTCATTAGAAAACTTTGAAGGTTTTATCAACGTGTCCTCAGAAAAGGGTCCTTGGTCTTTTATGGTGCCTTTGATGTGGCAGAGCCTTCTCAGAGCCTATGGCCATTTCTGCGTGTTCATGGAGAGGAAATGATCTTCCCTGCTGTCAGAAGACTGTAAGAGTCGGGGCTGGGGATGTAGGTCAGTAGTGCAACACTTACCTCCATCTCCAGCACCACAAAACCAGATCAAGATGTTTCATAGACTCGAGTCCTGTTTTGTGCCCTCAGCCCTGCATGGTATACTTGCTGTTATCATAGGACATATCTTTCAAAGATGAATTTTGTGTATGTTGAGAGAAGTGGATGCACAAGGACTGCACACTGGTCTGTGGGCAGCAAACACGTCCCTGAGTGTCACTATCACTGACTCAGCATGGATGAGGGAGCTGTGTCTTGCGGCTTCAGTGAGGGAATGGGGTGACAGGAAGGAGTGATGAGCCAGTTCTGTTGCCTTTCAGGAAGGCCATTTCTCATGGAATTTAGCAAGGACATAGCATTTGGTCCTGGCCTTGACCCTGTGAGATTGTGACATTCTGGATCAGGGAAAGGTCTTTTCAGGCAGAGTATGCTGAATGGAGAAAGGGCTGTTTGGGAACACGGGGGTTTTGGGCATATACAAGGGACAGAGCAACCTTTTGTTTGGTTGAAACAAGGGGTACACAAGAGGGAGTAATGGGATTAAAACTATCACTGGAATAAGATGTGCTAGACTAAGACACTGGGATACTATAGGGAACAGAGAGCTTTGGAGGAATCTGAGTTAGCGAAGTGTAAAGTAGATATTTCAAGAGATTTTGAGTGTTGGTTTTAAAAGGAGCAAAAGAAAGACAAAAGAGCGATTACAGTCTTAGGGTCACCCTCCTAGAAGAGAGTCTCTGAATTGTCCTGATGTATCTAAAGATATGCTTTTGGTATCTTTATTTCTGACAAGTAAAAGAAATGTTCCTAGTTGACTGGTCCTCACCCCTCCCCCTTCCCATGAGACGAGGTGCCTTGTGCAGTCCGGGCTGGTTCCAGACACATAGCAATCTCCTTCCTCTCCCTCTCCCTCCCCCCTCCCTCTTTCTCTCTCCTTTCCCCTTCTCCTCCTCACCCTCCTCCTCTCCCTCTCCCTTTTCTTTCCAGTACTGGGGATCAAACTCAGGACCTTGTGCTTTTGAGGCAGGTGGTGGAACTCCGAGCCAAATTCCCGGCCTTGGTGTTTTTTGTTGTTGTTTTTTTGAGGCAGGGTCTCCCTTTGTAGTGCAAGCTGGCCCTGAACTCACTATGTAGCCCAGCCTGGCTTCAAACTCCTGGTGATCCTCCTGCCTCATCCTCCTGATCAGAGGGGTATTTTCAAGTGCTGCTGCAGGTTGTATTGTTTTGTATTGCTTTTGTTTTCTTCCTCTTTCTCTCCCAGCCTATGACTTGGGGGTGTGTGTGTGTGTGTGTGTGTGTGTGTGTGAGTGTTTTGCACTCCTTTCCTGTAAATGACTATTTCATACTCCTAATTGTGGCTGCCACCTTCTGGAGGTGACCTGAACTCTAAGTGTACCCTTGGCCTTACCTGATTGTGTAATGTTGGCATTTGGGTAATATGTGCTTCCAGCTGTAGACACTGGAGATGAGCTGTCTGCAGCAGTTTGATCCCTAGCTGTTAGGGAATGGGTGTTCCTCAAATGGTCTCTAGAGCCCAGCTTTTTCCCAGTAATATTTAGTGTAAAGTCTGATAATTTAAATTTTCTTCAAATGTCATTGGATATCTGTACACATCCCATGTATATTAGGGTGTGCAGCTCTGCTGAGAATGTGCCCAGATTCCTCTTAAAGAAATGCTGTGGACCCTGGCTTAAGTCTTTGGTCTGGGACCCTGTTCTCCACAGTACTGACTTTTGATAACAGAACTGTGAAATCCAATTTTCCTGACTTACATAGTGCCCATTAACCAGAATGTTTTGCCTCCAGGTAAGTCTTGATTTCTGATTCAAGGCTGCCTTCTGTTTTATCCAGTAGTTATCAGGATGAGAAAAGTGGTTATTGTGGGAGACTGAAGTGCAAAACTGTTCTCCATGGTGGGAAGGGAAAACTGGGCTTGTTCTTGCCAGTACAAGATTGACTGTTGTCTGCTGCCTTTCTCCTCTGCTCTTGATGTCAGTATTGCAGGTGGAAGAAAGTCCATATCTCTTTCTGTGGGTGCTTCAAGCATTTTTGGAAGCAGAGGCAGCAGTGAGAAGAAGTTTTCTCTGCAAGATATAGCTGAGCTGATTCGGACCAGAGCCTGCCAGAGAGTGGTGGTCATGGTGGGTGCTGGAATCAGCACACCCAGTGGCATTCCGGACTTCAGGTAGCTCTGTGGTTCCCAGGTGATGCTACTTCCCTGCTTTCTCAGAAAGGGCTCAGGTCTCTTTTCTCTCTACAGATCTCCAGGGAGTGGCCTCTACAGCAACCTCCAGCAGTACAACATCCCATACCCAGAGGCCATTTTTGAACTAGAATTTTTCTTTCATAACCCTAAGCCCTTTTTCACTTTGGCCAAAGAGCTGTACCCTGGGAATTATCGGCCCAATATTACCCATTACTTCTTCCGGCTGCTCCATGACAAGGGCCTGCTTCTGAGGCTGTACACCCAGAACATTGATGGACTTGAGAGAGGTGAGGCCTGTGTTCCCATTGTATGTTCACTGCTTGTTTCAGGTAGGGTTGGATGTACTGCTTACACTTCATACTTGGGGCTATTTTGACTCAATGTTTGCCTCCTCTGAGCATGCAAGGCTACTTCTGGATCTACCTGTGGGCTTTTCTCCTTCAAACTAGCTGGACAGTGGTTTTGGGGCAGAACTAAAGTTGACATTGTTTTGCTGATTTTTTTTTTTTTTTAAGATATATATTGAGCAGCCAGGCATTATGGGTCATGCCTGTAATCCCAGCACTTGGGGGTTTATGCAGGAGGATTGCTGTGTGTTGGAAGCCAAGCTGTGCTACATAGTGAGTTCAAGGCCAGTCTGAACTACATAGTGAGAACCTGTCTCCAAAAAATAAAACAACAGTGGGTGGGGGGGAGAAATATTGAGCAAATAAAAGTAGTGCAAAAATGGCTCTTGATTTGGCCCAGTGACACCATGCCTGCCTTGCGCAAGGTTTTTGGTTTGATCCTTGGTACCCCCCCCACCAAAAAAAAAAAAAAGTGGCAAAGAACCCTCAAGTCTGTTTGCTTGGTTCATTACTGAAACTTAGTGCTTATTCATCTGTGTTCTCCCAACCTTCTCCCTTGTCCCTAGATTTTTTTTTTTTTTTGGTTATTTGAGACAGGATCTCTCACTATGTAGTTGATACTGACCTAGAACTCACTGTGTATCCCAGGCTGGTCTCGAACTCACAGCGATCCTTCTGCCTCAGCCTCCCAAGTGCTGGGATTACAGGAGTGTGCCACCACCCCCAACTATCCCTAGATTGTTTGAAAGCAGATCCATCAGTAGGTATCTGAAAGATAAAAGTCTTTTTTTTGTTTTGTTTTGTTTTTTGAGACAAGGTCTCATTATGTAGTTGAGACTGACCTGGAATTTACTTTGTAGCCCAGGCTGGTCTCAAACTCACAGTGATCCTCCTGCCTCAGCCTCCCCAGTGCTGGGATTACAGGCATGTGCCACCACGCCCTGTTTGAAAGATAAAAGTCTTTTAAAACAAAGCTCTGCTAGTCTTACCACACTGAAGAGTCATTGTTTCTTTTCTTTTCTTTTGTTTTTTTTGAGACAGGGTCTCACCATGTAGTTGAGACTGAGCTGGAACTCACTTTGTGGGACAGGCTGGTCTTGAACTCACCGCAATCCTCCTGCTTCAGCCTCCTGAGTGCTGGGATTGCAGCACCATGCCCGGCTAGGAGTCATTGTTTCTTAGTGTTGTAGGGGTCAGCCTGAGATGGCCTCTTGGCTACATCCATGTCACATTGTAACCATAAGTGGCATTCATGATGGTGCTGACCAGGTGGGCATCTAGGGAAGTGTTTGCTGCGATTTGCCTAATGTACAGTGGCATGGACAAGGTTGGGCTGTCAGAGCCATTGGACCCTGCCAGTGTACAGAGATGCTATGATCTCAAAGAGCTTGTCCTGGAGCAAGTTTCATTTGAGAAGGAATAATTAACTGGAAACACCAAGGAAACAGTGGACATTCCAAGGGACAGAAAGGCAGGCTGTAAAGGGAGGTGGGAACTGCTTGGCTGAGAACTTCAGGGCTACAGTTAGGACAGGAACCAGGTTATGGGAAGACACCTGCAGGTGGGACCCCATTTCTGCCTTGTAGCCTTTCAAAACCAGATAGTAGTAATGGACAACATTCATGAGAAGTCACTCTTTGTCTGCTTATTAACCAAGCAATTTTTTGGAAATTTATTGTATTGATATACTAACTTTTACTTGGTATCTGTAGTCTAGGACATTTATGTGTTGCTAGATATTAGACATAATTTCATCTGAATGTGTATCAAACAGATTTTTGTCTTGAGTTTTGAAGACTTTGTTTTAGTGTGGTTAATCTCTACTGGGAGCCTCTGCCCTGTGCACCATCCTGATAGGTGTAGAGTTGTGCATTGATGACATAGGCAGGGATAGCAGGCACCACTGAGGGGCTGAGGTCTCTCCTAGAATGCCTGCCACACTCAGAAGTTGTATGTTTGGACTTGAATGGCCTGTGGAGGTTGCAACACCAAGTTTTGGTTTGAATTTCAGTGTCTGGCATCCCAGTTTCAAAGCTGGTTGAAGCTCATGGAACCTTTGCCTCAGCCACCTGCACAGTCTGTCGAAGATCCTTTCTGGAGGAGGACTTCTGGGTGAGTTACCCCATTGAGGGTTCCTCCCTTTTGTAGTTCTTGGCAGAGGTGAGCTGTGAATGTGGTATTGTATAAGCGTCACGTTGGAAAGGCAACAGAATAGTATTGCTTTGAAGATATTTTCCTTTATTTTTAGTTTAGAAAAGTAACACATGCAGTGAGAACAAATCTCCCTTCAGCTAGTTTCTACTACCGGCCTTCAACAATTTGGTGTGTAACATTCCAGGGTTTTATCTGTAAACGTGCTGTGTATCTTTGTACAGACACCTAACTGTGATTTCAGGGATGGAAAATATTGTACTTATTCTATGATTGCTTTTTCCTGCACAGAGCTTCATGGATATCTTCTGCAGTTTTGCTCACTTTTCTTATTAACTGTAGAAGATCATAGCTATTCAACTATGGGGCATTTTTTGGTGTTTGCAATTTTACCATTAACCAATTTCTGCCAATGATTGCAATTTTTTTGAATTTTTGCATGAAATTCATATATGTTACCTACAAAGATTCAGGGAGTAAGAGTTTGAAGAGAGAAAAATTAATCATACTCTATTGTTATGGGTGTTTCAAGAATGGAACAGTAGGCATTGAAGGGTTAAAAATAATAGAGCAGGACAACAAAGTTAGGAACTGTAGCAGTGGAGATGAAGGTATTGAGTGGAACAGTACCACTCCTCCTTTCCTATGCCCAGTGTTGTGAGGGAGGAAGAGAAAAAGGATTCCAGTAGCCTTGGGCCATGATGGGGTAATAAGTGGGAAGTCAGCACTCCACCCCTGCTCCCAACAGCAGGAGAAAAGAGAGAAGTGGGACCGGAGCAACCTTTGGCCTGTCTTCACAGTGGCAGCAGGGTGACTGAGTTGGCTAACAGCGCTTCCCCAGCACTGCTCCCAGGGGTGTGAGAGGAGAGAGATATGCTAGTGGAGTGGAACAGAGGAGGCTGTGCAAGGGCCAGGAGGGGCCAATTGTACATGGGACTGGGAGCAGCCTTGGGCTGTCTCTGAGGGTGCCACAGCAACTGTGAGAGGGACAGAGGATAAGGAGACATGAGTGGGCCACTGAGGGACATTCAGAAAGTTGCTGGCTGAAGACTCTGGCCTCACCCCCAACATCCAAAGGCCAAGATCAGGTTTGCATCCAGCACTAATCCTACTGCAGACTTGGCAGGGTTACTCAGCACAGATTTGGGCTCTGACTTGGATACTACCACAGAACTGTGGACACCAGAGGAATTTTATTAGTTGGTTGGTTTTGTTTTCCTTTTTCTGTCTGTTTTTGTTTTTGGTTGTTTAGGTTTTTACTTTTATTGTTTGTTTTGTTTTGTTCGTCTTTTTTCTCTCTTTCCTCAACTGTCTTTGATTTTTTATAATTTCATGTGAGAGAACATTGTCTCTAGTCTTTCTCATCCACTTAGGTTTTTTTTTTTTTTTTTTTTTTTTTTTCTTTTTTTTTCTTCTCCCTCTCTTTTTT